AAGCAGAGACATCTCCATAGTGTAGTAAATTGGTATTTTATTATAATAAAACGAGGATGAAGATCGATGTATAAATCAGTAAAATTGCAAGAGAAATCATGGACTGACCGTCCAATGTTAAAGATGGCCGCCGGAGCTCCACGATGCTCCGGCGGCGTGACGTCACGGCGTTCCTGGCTCCTCCTACGCGTTTCGTGCACACGCACGTCGTCTGGGGGGATTTGCCAATCCCCCCAGACGATGTGCGTGTGCACGAAACGCGTAGGAGGAGCCAGGAACGCCGTGACGTCACGCCGCCGGAGCATCGTGGAGCTCCGGCGGCCATCTTTAACATTGGACGGTCAGTCCATGATTTCTCTTGCAATTTTACTGATTTATACATCGATCTTCATCCTCGTTTTATTATAATAAAATACCAATTTACTACACTATGGAGATGTCTCTGCTTTGACTCCCTTGGGGAGTATTAATTCACAGCCATCCGTTTCACTGCTGGTGAAGGAGCGTTCTTATCATTTGAGGAGGAATCCACAGGCTCATATCCGAGGGATTATCCTGATGTCCTAACAACAATACCCAGTAGTACTGGAGGGAGACCACTGGATTCCAGACCCCACCTCGACCAGCTGATGACCTCAAGGGATCAGTATATATATATACAAACGCTCACTTAACTGTGCGTTCTGGTGAGTGTGCATTTCTTCTGCACTATATCGCACAGCATCTAGTCACCTGGAGGATAGGAATAGATGAGAGCACCTGAAGTCACCTTGATATCACCATATGAACTGCTTGTTTATATTCATTTATTCATTTACCTATAGTACCTCTTGTCCAGCGCTGCATCATTTGATTTATATTATTGCACTCCTTCAACCTTGCTCTTTTTTCCCCTTTTTTTGTCTGCTTAACTACTGTAGGACGTGGCACTAGTGTATTATATAATTGGGAGTGACCCTACACCCGAGTACACTCCAATACTCCCTTTTTGTTTGTGTGGGTATGACGCTGTTCAAGTCGCTGTAGCCGGTGAACCCGAAAGAAAGGCCAGGTGATGAAGAAAGCCCTGTCAGTGGTGACTTCATTTTAAGGTAGGTTTCACATAATGTGATAGTATGCGATGCATGCGAAAAAGTTTTTTTTTTTCTTTTTAAGAACCAGGTTTACTATATTATATATATAATTGGGAGTGACCCGACACCCAAGTACACTCCAATACTCCCTTTTTGTTTGTGTAGGAATGACACCATTCAAGTCGCTGTAGCCGGTGAACCCGAAAGAAAGGCCAGATGACGATGAAAGCCCTGTCAGTGGTGACTTCATTTTAAGGTAGGCTTCACATAATGTGATAGTATGCGATGCATGCGAAAAGTTTTTTTTTTCTTTTTAAGAACCAGGTTTACTACCGCTTTAATGCGGAATCCTGAAACCAGGAAAAGTGGTTGTCACGGCTTGCTAACAGCAGGAGCGCAGCAGTGGGAAGAAAGTAATTAAAAGCCTTAGAAAGATATTGAGCACCATCAACATATATAATGGATCTCCTGTTTGCAGGTTTCCAGGGCATCCATTGAGCTTAGCAGGAAGAGCAAGGGTATAAGAAGGCATCTGGGCTATGAAACATCACCATTGCTATGGACAAGGATTAAGCAGTATTGTCTTCTGACCTTTTAAACATTGATTAATCATTTAGCCAATGAGATTTTATTGTAATTTAGCCAGTGACAGTACACAACGAGTGAATAAAATATTAATTTTGATCAATACATATTGGTTATTCTTTTACAACGGTAATGCTCTGCTTCAGATAGTTATCCCCACTGCTGTTCAGTCATGGGTTCTGGCTTCCAGCTTGTCTTAGCAACACATCAAAATTGTACAGAAAAGAAAAGAGCCACACTCCTGGTCAACAATCATATATATTAAATGAAATCCTAGTACATAGACAATCTACCTGGGCTCTCTCTGACACATTTCACATGGTATGAGCCTAATCAAACAGCTTAATCACAGAGACCCTATGAGTAAGCTCATATGGAGTGAAACACATCAGTTAGAGCCCAGGTGGATTGTCCAATTAGAAATTAATTTAATATAATTTCTTGATTATTGAACGGGAGTTTGGCTCTGTTTTTCAGGTCAAAAAAAGCTTAAAGAGATTGTTACCCCCAAAATGTCATATTCCTGCTATGAGTCCCTTGTACCATGTACTTGTACTAAACAAAAATCCTGTTTTCTATGTATTTCTTCCTTTGTGTGAAATACCTGGTCTTCCTGCCAGTCCCCCTGCTTTCATATTTCAAACTGACCATACTAGGCGTAAGAGCACATATACAGTATCTCAGTGTGGTCAGTTTTCTGGTTGTGCTGGGAGAACAGCCTGCCTTTCCTCGAATGGTCAGACTTGTGCTGGAACTCCCCCCCCCCCTCTCCCCACTGAGAAGATCGGAGTACTGCTGTTTCTCCACCCCCACCTCTCTAAGCCCTTTATGCAGAAAAGAAAAAATAGATATGTATAAATGTTTGGCCTTTCATTTCTATTTTAAACTGAATGCGGAATGGGGTAATTTTACAGTGTAAAGGCTCACATATACTTTAATTGAGGGTTTTTGGTTTTCTTTTCATTTTAATACACTATATTGCCAAAAGTATTGGGCCAGCCCTCCAAATCATTGGATTCAGGTGTATAAAATCAAGCACCTAGGCATGCAGACTGCTTCTACAAACATTTGTAAAAGAAAAGGTAGCTCTCAGGAGCTCAATGAATTCAAGCATGGTAGCATGATAGGTTGCCACTAGAGATGAGCGAAGTATTCAAAAATTCGATTCGACTGATTCGGCGAATTCGTGGAAAAATTTTGATTCGAGTCAAATATATTCGCTGCGAATTTAACTTATAAAAGGGTGTTTCTAGGCTTCAGAGAGCCTTTATATTAGTGCAGAACACTGTACCTTTAATTTAAATGCCCTTGGAGTCTGCTGGGGAAGAGAAATAATACTGACAGTCAGTATGACATGCAGATGAGTGCCGTCGATCTTAGAATCACCGCACACTTCACTCATTTGGGCAGTCACGGGGCCAAAACCAGAGTGTGGAGCCACAGTGTGGCGGTGGAGGCAGCAGCAATGGGAGGCCATACAGCACCCTATGACAAAAATGGAAACCACCAGCAGTGTGAGGATACCTGAAAGTGGCACATGGCAGAGCGTGGCGATGGAGACAGCAGCAATGGGAGGCCGTACAGGGACCCATGACACACTCTGGACCTGGCAGCAGCATGAGGAGGCGGTACAGGGGCCCATGACAGATTACGGGCCTGGCAGCAGCATGAGGAGTTGGTACGGGGGCCCATGGCAGATTACGGGCCTGGCAGCAGCAATGGGAGGCCGTACAGGGACCCATGACACACTCTGGACCTGGCAGCAGCATGAGGAGGCGGTACAGGGGCCCATGACAGATTACGGGCCTGGCAGCAGCATGAGGAGTCGGTACGGGGGCCCATGACACACTCTGGACCTGGCAGCAGCATGAGGAGGCGGTACAGGGGCGCATGACAGATTACGACCCTGGCAGCAGCAACTTGGACAGGAGGACGTTCAGCTTCTGCACCGTCGGGTGCGTTCTCGCAAACTGTTGTCTCTTGGAAACGGATTCCAAGAAAGACTGCTGACGGAATCCGTGAAGAGGAGTAGCAGGAGAAGGAGCATCTGAACGAGCGGAATATGCCAACAAGCGACAACAGGGGCCCATGAAAGATTACGGGCCTGGCAGCAGCATGAGGAGTCGGTACGGGGGCCCATGGCAGATTACGGGCCTGGCAGCAGCAATGGGAGGCCCGTAATCTGCCAGCACCCTATGACAAAGAATGGAACACACCAGCAGTGTGTGAGGAGACCTGAAAGTGGCACATGGCAGAGTGTGGCGATGGAGACAGCAGCAATGGGAGGCCGTACAGGGACCCATGAGAGACTGTGGACCTGGCAGCAGCATGAGGAGGCGGTACTGGGGCCCATGGCAGATTAGGGGCCTGGCAGCAGCAATGGGAGGCCCGTAATCTGCCAGCACCCTATGACAAAAAATGGAACACACCAGCAGTGTGAGGAGACCTGAAAGTGGCACATGGCAGAGTGTGGCGATGGAGACAGCAGCAATGGGAGGCCGTACAGGGACCCATGAGAGACTGTGGACCTGGCAGCAGCATGAGGAGGTGGTACTGGGGCCCATGGCAGATTAGGGGCCTGGCAGCAGCAATGGGAGGCCCGTAATCTGCCAGCACCCTATGACAAAAACTGTAACACACCAGCAGTGTGAGGAGACCTGAAAGTGGCACATGGCAGAGTGTGGCGATGGAGACAGCAGCAATGGGAGGTGGTTCAGGGACCCATGAGACACTGTGGACCTGGCAGCAGCATGAGGAGGCGGTACAGGGGCCCATGGCAGATTAAGGCCTGGCAGCAGCAATGGGAGGCCCGTAATCTGCCAGCACCCTATGACAAAATGGAACCCTGGGCTGGGCAGGCAGAACCGCCGTATCTTTATTACGGTTTTCCCAGGCCACCGAATGGCGACGCTGCATATGCTGACGCAACGCTGTAGTCCCAACATGGGCCCCCTGGCCACGCTTGACTTTCTGGCCACATAGTCGACATACGGCTACGTTTACTTCCTCGGGCGGCTTGACGAAAAATTGCCACACCGCCGAGTAGGAAACTTTGCCCCCGCTACTCCTCACTGGCTGACTGCTACTTCCTCCGTGCACACCGGCACCACTACTGGCCGTGGTGGTAGGCTGCAGTGGAGCTGATGCTCTACTCCGTGGCCGTTTGCCTCCACTGACACTGCTGCGACCCTGCTGCCTCCTGGCAGCAGCAATGGGAGGCCGTACAGGGACCCATGACAAACTCTGGACCTGGCAGCAGCATGAAGAGGCGGTACAGGGGCCCATGGCAGATTACGGGCCTGGCAGCAGCAATGGGAGGCCCGTAATCTGCCAGCACCCTATGACAAAAAATGGAACACACCAGCAGTGTGAGGAGACCTGAAAGTGGCACATGGCATGAGACACTGTGGACCTGGCAGCAGCATGAGGAGGCGGTACAGGGGCCCATGGCAGATTAGGGGCCTGGCAGCAGCTATGTGAGGCTCGTAATCTGCCAGCACCCTATGACAAAAAATGGAACACACCAGCAGTGTGTGAGGAGACCTGAAAGTGGCACATGGCAGAGTGTGGCGATGGAGACAGCAGCAATGGGAGGCCGTACAGGGACCCATGAGAGACTCTGGACCTGGCAGCAGCATGAGGAGGCGGTACAGGGGCCCATGGCAGATTACGGGCCTGGCAGCAGCAATGGGAGGCCCGTAATCTGCCAGCACCCTATGACAAAAAATGGAACACAACAGCAGTGTGAGGAGACCTGAAAGTGGCACATGGCAGAGTGTGGCGATGGAGACAGCAGCAATGGGAGGCCGTACAGGGACCCATGAGAGACTCTGGACTTGGCAGCAGCATGAGGAGGCGGTATAGGGGCCCATGGCAGATTAGGGGCCTGGCAGCAGCTATGGGAGGCCCGTAATCTGCCAGCACCCTATGACAAAAAATTGAACACACTAGCAGTGTGTGAGGAGACCTGAAAGTGGCACATGGCGAGTGTGGCAATGGAGACAGCAGCAATGGGAGGCCGTACAGGGACCCATGAGAGACTGTGGACCTGGCAGCAGCATGTGGAGGCGGTACTGGGGCCCATGGCAGATTAGGGGCCTGGCAGCAGCAATGGGAGGCCCGTAATCTGCCAGCACCCTATGACAAAAACTGTAACACACCAGCAGTGTGAGGAGACCTGAAAGTGGCACATGGCAGAGTGTGGCGTTGGAGACAGCAGCAATGGGAGGCGGCTCAGGGACCCATGAGACACTGTGGACCTGGCAGCAGCATGAGGAGGCAGTACAGGGGCCCATGGCAGATTAAGGCCTGGCAGCAGCAATGGGAGGCCCGTAATCTGCCAGCACCCTATGACAAAATGGAACCCTGGGCTGGGGCAGGCAGAACCGCCGTATCTTTATCACGGTTTTCCCAGGCCACCGAATGGCGACGCTGCATATGCTGACGCAACGCTGTAGTCCCAACATGGGCCCCCTGGCCACGCTTGACTTTCTGGCCACATAGTCGACATACGGCTACGTTTACTTCCTCGGGCGGCTTGACGAAAAATTGCCACACCGCCGAGTAGGAAACTTTGCCCCCGCTACTCCTGCCACTGGCTGACTGCTACTTCCTCCGTGCACACCGGCACCAACTACTGGCCGTGGTGGTAGGCTGCAGTGGAGCTGGTGCTCTACTCCGTGGCCGTTTGCCTCCACTGACACTGCTGCGACCCTGCTGCCTCCTGGCAGCAGCAATGGGAGGCCGTACAGGGACCCATGAGACACTCTGGACCTGGCAGCAGCATGAGGAGGCGGTACTGGGGCCCATGGCAGATTAGGGGCCTGGCAGCAGCTATGGGAGGCTCGTAATCTGCCAGCACCCTATGACAAAAAATGAACACACCAGCAGTGTGAGGAGACCTGAAAGTGGCACATGGCATGAGACACTGTGGACCTGGCAGCAGCATGAGGAGGCAGTACAGGGGCCCATGGCAGATTAGGGGCCTGGCAGCAGCTATGGGAGGCCGTAATCTGCCAGCACCCTATGACAAAAAAATGGAACACACCAGCAGTGTGAGGAGACCTGAAAGTGGCACATGGCATGAGACACTGTGGACCTGGCAGCAGCATGAGGAGGCGGGACAGGGGCCCATGGCAGATTAGGGGCCTGGCAGCAGCTATGGGAGGCCCGTAATCTGCCAGCACCCTATGACAAAAAATGGAACACACCAGCAGTGTGTGAGGAGACCTGAAAGTGGCACATGGCAGAGTGTGGCGATGGAGACAACCCACCGACTGTTTTGCTCGCTGCCAAGCTGCCACCCTCTTCTCCTGATGATGCGGAAGCAATAGCCTGATGACGACGAGGCTGCCAAGTGCGATCAGCCTCATCATCATCAATTAGGGTCTCCGCCTCACTACTAGCCCCCTCGGCTGCGTGTGGGTCAGGAGACAGACCTGTTTCTAGACCGGCTACCGAGCCACTCTCCTCGCCACTACTTCTTCGCCTGGCTGCTGAAGAGGCGGATGTCTCCCCCCGTTCCTGACCGCCCTCTGTTAGCTCTTCTTCACTGTACTGGATGACACCGGGAGCACTGGCCTCTGCTGCGAATAGTGCTGCCTCGACCCCTTCCTCTGCTGCCACGTCTGCTCGCTCCTAAAACATTGCCTCCTCTGCCACTCCTCTGCATGTTGTCTGACATACTCTTTAAGCTTAAACGATTCTGTGTCCCTGAGTAACAATTCTGTGTCTGTCCCTGAGTAACAATTCTGTGTCCCTGAGTAACGTTTCTGTGGCCCTAAGTAACAGTTCTGTGGCCCTCAGTAACAATTCTGTGTCCCTCAGTAACAATTCTGTGTCCCTCAGTAACAATTCTGTGTCTGTCTGAGAGTAACAATTCTGTGTCTGTCCCTGAGTAACAATTCTGTGTCCCTCAGTAACGTTTCTGTGGCCCTAAGTAACAGTTCTGTGGCCCTCATAACAATTCTATGTCCCTCAGTAACAATTCTGTGTCTGTCCCTGAGTAACAATTCTTTGTCCCTGAGTAACAATTCTGTGTCCCTGAGTAACAATTCTGTGTCCCTCAGTAACAATTCTGTGTCCCTCAGTAACAATTCTGTGTCCCTCAGTAACAATTCTGTGTCTGTCCCTGAGTAACAATTCTGTGTCTGTCCCTGAGTAACAATTCTGTGTCTGTCCCTGAGTAACAATTCTGTGTCCCTGAGTAACGTTTCTGTGGCCCTAAGTAACAGTTCTGTGGCCCTCAGTAACAATTCTGTGTCCCTCAGTAACAATTCTGCCTGTCCCTGAGTAACAATTCTGTGTCCCCAGTAACAATTCTGTGTCCCTCAGTAACAATTCTGTGTCCCTCAGTAACAATTCTGTGTCCCTGAGTAACAATTCTGTGTGTCCCTCAGTAACAATTCTGTGTCCCTCAGTAACAATTCTGTGTCCCTGAGTAACAATTCTGTGTCTGTCCCTGAGTAACAATTCTGTGTCTGTCCCCTGAGTAACAATTCTGTGTCCCTAAGTAACAATTTCTGTGCCCTAAGTAACGTTTCTGTGCCCCTAAGTAACGATTCTGTGTGCCCTAAGTAACGTTTCTGTGGCCCTAAGTAACGTTTCTGTGGCCCTAAGTAACGATTCTGTGGCCCTAAGTAACGTTTCTGTAGCCCTAAGTAAACGTTTCTGTGGCCCTAAGTAACGTTTCTGTGCCCTAAGTAACGTTTCTGTGGCCCTAAGTAACAATTCTGTGGCCCTCAGTAACAGTTTCTGTGGCCCTCAGTAACAATTCTGTGTCCCTCAGTAACAATTCTGTGTCTGTCCCTGAGTAACAATTCTGTGTCCCTAAGTAACGTTTCTGTGTCCCTAAGTAACGTTTCTGTGTCCCTAAGTAACGATTCTGTGGCCCTAAGTAACGATTCTGTGGCCCTAAGTAACGTTTCTGTCCCTCAAATTCCCTAAGTAACGTTTCTGTGGCCCTAAGTAACGTTTCTGTAGCCCTAAGTAACGTTTCTGTGGCCCTAAGTAATGTTTCTGTGGCCCTAAGTAACGTTTCTGTGGCCCTAAGTAACGTTCTGTGTCCCTCAGTAACAATTCTGTATCCCTCAGTAACAATTCTGTGTCTGTCCCTGAGTAACAATTCTGTGTCCCTAAGTAACGTTTCTGTGGCCCTAAGTAACGTTTCTGTGGCCCTCAGTAACAATTCTGTGGCCCTCAGTAACAATGGTTCTGTGGCCCTCAATTCTGTGGCCCTAAACAATTCTGTGTCCCTCAGTAACACGTTTCTGTTCTGTGATTTCTGTGCCCTAAGTAACAATTCTGTGGCCCCTAAGTAAACGTTTCTGTGGCCCTAAATAACGTTTCTGTGGCCCTAAGTAACATTCTGTGGCCCTAAGTAACAATTCTGTGTCTGTCCCTAATTAACGTTTCTGTGGCCCTAAGTAACGTTTCTGTGGCCCTAAGTAACAATTCTGTGTCCCTCAGTAACATTTTCTGTGGTCCCTAAGTAACGTTTCTGTGGCCCTAAGTAACGTTTCTGTGGCCCTAAGTAACGGATTCTGTGGCCCTAAGTAACGTTTCTGTGGCCCTAAGTAACGGTTCTGTGGCCCTCAGTAACAATTCTGTGTCCCTCAGTAACAATTCTGTGTCTGTCCCTAAGTAACAATTCTGTGGCCCTAAGTAACGTTTCTGTGGCCCTAAGTAACGTTTCTGTGGCCCTAAGTAACGATTCTGTGGCCCTAAGTAACGTTTCTGTGGCCCTAAGTAACGTTTCTGTGGCCCTCAGTAACAAATCTGTGTCCCTCAGTAACAATTCTGTGTCTGTCCCTAAGTAACAATTCTGTGTCCCCCTAAGTAACAATTCTGTGGCCCTAAGTAACGGTTCTGTGTGCCCTCAGTAACAATTCTGTGTCCCTCAATAACAATTCTGTGTCTGTCCCTAAGTAACAATTCTGTGCCCTAAGTAACGTTTCTGTGGCCCTAAGTAACGATTCTGTGGCCCTAAGTAACGTTTTCTGTGGCCCTAAGTAACGTTTCTGTGGCCCTCAGTAACAAATCTGTGTCCCTCAGTAACAATTCTGTGTCTGTCCCTAAGTAACAATTCTGTGGCCCTAAGTAACGTTTCTGTGGCCCTAAGTAACGGTTTCTGTGGCCCTCAGTAACAATTCTGTGTCCCTCAATAACAATTCTGTGTCTGTCCCTAAGTAACAATTCTGTGGCCCTAAGTAACGTTTCTGGTGCCCTGAGTAACAATTCTGTGTCCCTGAGTAACAATTCTGTGTCCCTCAGTAACAATTCTGTGTCCCTCAGTAACAATTCTGTGTCCCTCAGTAACAATTCTGTGTCTGTCCCTGAGTAACAATTCTGTGTCTGTCCCTGAGTAACAATTCTGTGTCTGTCCCTGAGTAACAATTCTGTGTCCCTGAGTAACGTTTCTGTGGCCCTAAGTAACAGTTCTGTGGCCCTCAGTAACAATTCTGTGTCCCTCAGTAACAATTCTGTGTCTGTCCCTGAGTAACAATTCTGTGTCTGTCCCTGAGTAAGTATAACAATTCTGTGTCCTCCCTAAGTAACGTTTCTGTGGCCCTAAGTAACGTTTCTGTGGCCCTAAGTAACGTTTCTGTAGCCCTAAGTAACGTTTTCTGTGTCCCTAAGTAACGTTTCTGTGGCCCTAAGTAACAGTTTCTGTGGCCCTCAGTAACGTTTTTCTGTGGCCCCTCAGTAACAATTCTGTGGCCCTCAGTAACAATTCTGTGTCTGTCCCTGAGTAACAATTCTGTGTGTCCCTAAGTAACATTTCTCTGGCCCTAAGTAACGTTTCTGTGTCCCTAAGTAACGATTCTGTGCCCTAGTAACGGTTCTGTGGCCCTCAGTAACAATTCTGTGTCCCTCAGTAACAATTCTGTGTCTGTCCCTAAGTAACAATTCTGTGGCCCTAAGTAAAGTTGTGCCCTAAGTAACGTTTCTGTGTCCCTAAGTAACGATTCTGTGGCCCTAAGTAACGTTTCTGTAGCCCTAAGTAACGTTTCTGTGGCCCTAAGTAACGTTTCTGTAGCCCTAAGTAACGTTTCTGTGGCCCTAAGTAACGTTTCTGTGGCCCTAGTAACGGTTCTGTGGCCCTCAGTAACAATTCTGTGTCCCTCAGTAACAATTCTGTGTCTGTCCCTAAGTAACAATTCTGTGGCCCTAAGTAACGTTTCTGTGGCCCTAAGTAACGTTTCTGTGGCCCTAAGTAACGATTCTGTGCCCTAAGTAACGTTTCTGTGGCCCTAAGTAACGTTTCTGTGTCCCTCAGTAACAAATCTGTGTCCCTCAGTAACAATTCTGTGTCTCCCTAAGTAACATTCTGTGGCCCTAAGTAACGTTTCTGTGGCCCTAAGTAACGGTTCTGTGGCCCTCAGTAACAATTCTGTGTCTGTCCCTCAGTAACAATTCTGTGTCTGTCCCTGAGTAACAATTCTGTGGCCCTAAGTAACGTTTCTGTGGCCCTAAGTAACGGTTCTTTGGCCCTCAGTAACAATTCTGTGTCCCTCAATAACAATTCTGTGTCTGTCCCTAAATAACAATTCTGTGGCCCTAAGTAACGTTTCTGTGGCCCTAAGTAACGATTCTGTGCCCTAAGTAACGTTTCTGTGGCCCTAAGTAACGTTTTCTGTGGCCCTCAGTAACAAATCTGTGTCCCTCAGTAACAATTCTGTGTCTGCCCTAAGTAACAATTCTGTGGCCCTAAGTAACGTTTCTGTGGCCCTAAGTAACGGTTCTGTGCCCTCAGTAACAATTCTGTGTCCCTCAATAACAATTCTGTGTCTGTCCCTAAGTAACAATTCTGTGGCCCTAAGTAACGTTTTCTGTGGCCCTAAGTAACATTTCTGTGCCCTAAGTAACGTTTCTGTGGCCCTAAGTAACGGTTCTGTGTCCCTCAGTAACAATTCTGTATCCCTCAGTAACAATTCTGTGTCTGTCCCTGAGTAACAATTTCTGTGTCCCTAAGTAACGTTTCTGTGGCCCTAAGTAACGGTTCTGTGGCCCTCAGTAACAATTCTGTGTCCCTCAGTAACAATTCTGTGTCTGTCCCTAAGTAACAATTCTGTGGCCCTAAATAACGTTTCTGTGGCCCTAAGTAACGATTCTGTGGCCCTCAGTAACAATTCTGTATCCCTCAGTAACAATTCTGTCTGTCC